GATTTCAGTGTGTGCATTTATTGTTCATAGTGGTGTGAAATGTGGTTGGGGTACGACCGACAACCCGTCGGGGCGAATTTCGCACTGGGGTACTCAAAATTTGAAGAATTTAAGACGTTTCCATGAGTTTTGAAGGTATGGATAAGTTCTAAAAATCCGGTTCTCCTTATCTGGGCCATTAACTCCATACGGTCCAGGAAAGCTGGCACACTACCTTTAATGTTAAGTCTGTATAAAGTCTGAAGTCTGTAGCCACTCTTAATCCTAGTTTGTCATTACCTTAATCTAGCCTGGGTGGATATTTTGCCGTGCTTAAAGCACGGACTGCGCTACGCCCCGGCACGGCGGCCGGGGCACCTCCCCTGGAAGAAAACGGCACCGGGGAGGGGGGACGGACGGCGAGGAGCCGGGGGAAGGAGCGCGGCACCGTCACCCCACAAGCCGCCCGCAGCACCGCCGTTATTCTTGTGCCTCTTGGGCGCCGCCGATGCCCTGCGGATGGGGAGCGCATCCCAGACGGGCGGGAGCCGGGAGGGCCGCCCGCGCCATCCGGCCGGCGAAGCAGCAGCCCGGCCAGGCGCGGCGGGCGGCTGGGTGGCGGCCGGACTGAGACGAGTCCCGAGTCGCTCCATGTCTCTGTCTCTTGCGAAACTAGTACCGCCGCCGCCCAGCCTTGATGGGTCACTACGAGGAAAAGGCGAGCCCGCTCCCAGTACCTGTCGTGGAGCTCCCGCGCGGGCACGCCGCCTCACCGATGGCCCCTGGTCTTTATCTCTCTCTCTCTCTCTCTCTCTCTCTCTCTCTCTCTCTCTCTCTCTCTCTCTCTCTCTCTCTCTCTCTCTCTCTCTCTCTCTCTCCGTCTCCGTCTCCGTCTCCGTCTCCGTCTCCGTCTCCGTCTCCGTCTCCGTCTCCGTCTCCGTCTCCGTCTCCGTCTCCGTCTCCGTCTCCGTCTCCGTCTCCGTCTCCGTCTCCGTCTCCGTCTCCGTCTCCGTCTCCGTCTCCGTCTCTCTCTCTCTCTCTCTCTCTCTCTCCTCTCTCCTCTCTCCTCTCTCTCTCTCTCTCTCTCTCTCTCTCTCTCTCTCTCTCTCTCTCTCTCTCTCTCTCTCTCTCTCTCTCTCTGACGCCAAAACCGGCTCACAACGGCGTCCATGTCGGCCGGGGCGAAATGACTTGAATAATTATTTCATAAAGGCATTAACAGTGACACAAGACAAAAGTTCAACAAATTCTACGCATGAATCATCCAGTAGGTACTACCTTCGAGAACAGTTAAAATGAAGATGCACAAGAAAGCGTAATTTCCCAATGACATGATATGGCTGTCACAATGCTTAGCCGCAATCACCTCTTTTTGTAGTTGAAATGGTAAGTAATTTTTGAAATTTTCCGATAAAAATCTAAAATTGATACCATATTGAAGACCAATCAATTCTACACATGAATCAGGGTGTATCTTTGAGAAAAACTTGAAAGTTTAGGTGTGATAAGAAAAACAAATAAAAATGAACCATTTTCCCATAGACTTTGTATTGGCTCCAAAATCGCATGGATCCAGAATTTCTGGAAGTGCCCTCGCCACAACTGCACGTGCGCTGCGCTCGAAAATGATCACGTGACCAAATCCAGATGAGATCACCGTATTTATAGTCACCGTGGGAAAATCCATGTTTTGGTGAGGAACGGGCCCGTTTTTCGCGTCGGTGCTTCTGTGTTCCTTCTTATTTCAGACGTGAGTATGGTTTGGACGAGGTTATAGATGACTGTAGATCATGTAAAAATGATTATTTAAGTAAAATAACGTAAAATATCGTACATTTTGAAGAGCAATCGTCGGGAAACTCATCTGGCATTGCGCCGCTTTGGTACATACCATACATATGATATTGACGTCTAGTCATGAAGACAATGCTCAATTTTAACAGCTAAAACAGAGAGTATATCCTCCTCCCCCGCACAATATTGCATTAGGTACTGATCATCAAGTTAAAATGGAAATGTGATGTTATTTTAGGCAGTCAACTTGATTGAGGTGCAGTCCTGTCTAAAAAATGCTACTTTATTATGACAGCAGGTTTTGAAATAATAAAACAAACCTGTGGCTGTCCAGTATGTTCACTTCACGTGCACACCGCACCAAACCTATCGCCAGACTTGACCCCTCTCTGCCGGGAGGCGGTGAGGGGGACACGGCCGCTCGGACAGACCCCACAGCGAGACGCGGCACCGCCGCGCGGTCCGGGACGGCCCGCCGGACCCGGGACAGACTCCCCACAGCGATGCGCTACACCCGGCAGGCCAGGCCGGCGGCGTCCCATCCGCTCTGGTCCCATCGGCCGCCGGCCAGCCGCCCCCTCCCCGTTCCCCAGCACTGCGCGTAGAACGAATCATGCGCGCCGTTTTTGTCACGACAAGTGCTACCAGATGGCCCGTTTCGTGGCTGCCATATTCAACTTGGGAAAAACGGCCTTCAAAACGGTGGGTGACGGCGACGGGCCCGTTTCGACGGGTGACGGGCCCAGTGGGAACCGGGCTTTAGAGCCCCACGCTGACCTCTGAGGACCCCATGTTGGCCTGTAATGAGTAAGGACCCACATTAGCCTCTGAGAGCCCAACTCGGTCTCTGATGGTCTCAAACTACTGGCCTTTGTAGTTTGCAGGCCCTGTACTGGTCTCTGAGCGCCCTAAACTGGCCTCTAAGTGAAAACATACATGGGTGGGCTTCTGAAGATCAGAGGGCTTACGCAGACTCCTGCACAGCCTTACGTTGGTCCTGATCGAGATCACTTTACGTCCTGATGGTCCCGCGTAGATTCACTCATATTTCGACGTCGGGACCCCATGAGCCGTTGTGGGTCCTGGGGCTGGCAGAGACTGATGAAGTCCTCAGGGCTCAGGGCCAGTCTTTTTAGCATGAGGACTAGACATTTGAGTGAGCCCCAATAGAGCCGTTGCGAAGCCCGCAGGAGTCGCGCGCGGCCTTCAGATGCCAATTTTGAAAGCCAGGAACCTTTGGTCTCCAGAGGTCGGTGGACGGTGTACGGCTCTCGCGAGATTAAGCGGTAGGTTTTGCACTTTTACATTTCCGGTTATATCTCAGAAACTAATCGATCTACGACGAAGCCATTTTACACGATCATGGCCGGCTTGTGAACCAACAAGTTGATCGCATCTTCAACACTTAAAAGCTTAAGACGACGAAGATATAGCCTGAAGTACACTAAATTTTCTAGGTGCAAACCTACCGCTAAAACCCGCGAGACCTGTACCTACTCTCTCCCGCCGCAACACATGCTATTCGTATATGGGTAAATGTCATAGTCTGAAAATCCTCTCTGGGTTTCACATGCTTGTTCAAAGCAAGAGGTAGGTATCTGTACTTTTCCGAATTGTTTTATAGTGGTAAGGTCATGAATCCTCGTGCCCGACCTTCCAGTATATGCTACACCGATCAGTCGCCATGGTGCAGTGGCCCGACCGGTGGAAACACCGTGGGACGAGAAATGGAACTGGTGATTTTGCTTAAATTGAGCTTAAAGATTCCACGCAAGAATGAGATGGTTGAAGCATAAGTATGGCCAACTGCGCGGCGCCTCGTGGACGTAAAAATCACGGTAAAAATAAGCCGAACACCCCACCCCCCCCCCCCCCCTCCGGTGACGGATAAATGTTATGTCCCGCGAGTGTGAGTTTGGCCCCCCCTTTTGCTAGCGGCTGCGACCGCCAGTGCACAGGGGGCCCTCTCAGGCACACAGGGGGCCCTCTCAGGCACACAAAGGCCCTCTGAGACGCACAAAGGGCCCTCTCAGGCCCTAGTTGTAACCTATAAATTATACATACTGAAACGTAGTTGCGTAAGTAACACTTATCAAACGATAAAACCAAATGGAAAAGCATCATCCAAGTGCAAAGTCGCAATACTTCTGTCTACTTGTGAGTTGCATGTTTTCACCCCCCCCCCCCTCTAAATATAAAATAATACTAAGTTTGATGATCTTTTCCACAATTCAGGTAGGGTAAGGGCGGGTAAGAGTACGCGGGCGATAAGAGTACGCATCAGCTGTTTCGGTTGCTTAGCAACGCGGGTTTGTCGAGTTCATGAAGTGACATGAAGCCGCCAGTGCGTGCTTGTCACCAACGGAACGTGGGCGTTGAGCGACGACGCTGTTGAGTTTAAGGCGATGAATATTATTTTCGAGCGTTATGATATTATTATGGTATGGTCCAATAATTTTGATACTTGGCAGTTGAGATAAGGCACATTTCCGTGATTGTTGTGGGAAACTTGTGAGGTTATCTGGGGAAATACTGTGCAGTGCAATGTTCTGTTTGCGAAGTTTTGCACAACGTTTCGGGGTTGTTTTGTGCGCGAATTGCATGTACGGTAAGAGGACGCACTGTTCAGGAGGGTAAGAGTACGCAGAATTATACATTAAATCGAATATACAGAAATATAAAATTATTAATCTATCGCTCAATGACGTTTGTTTTGTAGGTATATCATCAATGGAGCACTGTGATGCAGATGTGTACCCGAAATTCTTCCAAATACGAGTTATTCTCCCCTTTGATTGTGCATTTTTTTAAGAAACACACGAAATGATTATTTCCTGATTTATAGACTTGAAAGATTTATTTTATGTTTTTCTCTTTGGATACTAGAATTAACTTAACTGCCTTCTGAGTTTGAAGTTAAGCATTTGGACAGTACAAGCTGCATAGGTGTGTGTTCATATGCTTGCGTACTCCACCCGCCTGGCGTGCGTACTCTTACACACCCATGGTAAGAGTACGCAACTGCAGCGGTTCAGAAAATGTCAGTTTTAGACCACTTCCATTTACGCTGAAGGATCGTTGCCCCATGGGTTGATGGCTAATTCAATGAACTTTAATATTCCATATTTGTGATTTCTTTCTTTCAAACATTAAACAAATGAGAGCAAGAAATCCACTAAGTGCGTACTCTTATACGACTTCACCCTACTTCAGCGTGCACCACTTACCCAGCTGTACTTGATGCCGCTGTGGTCACAATCCAAGGTGACTGCGTATTTGACGTTCGGACTCAACCGACACCCGTTTAACATGCACGCACCGGTCCAGGAGGCGGAATCGGCGCCGCCCGCCAGAGCGGCCACAACTATGATCAAAATCACTGCCAGCGGGGGTCGGTCGGTGGACACCATGGTCCCGCGGTACGCCCTACGGCAGCGGCACAGCCGAACGGTCGGCCGGTCGAGCTACCAGTGCCGCTCGCCGGAGCCTCCTTGCTGCCCCGGGGCCTCCAAAAGGATGTGCTGACCCACATTGTATTGAAGATATCGGAAACATGACTATTGACCCGTATCAGCCTTTGACCGGAAACGGCGCGCTGGTGGCCGACCAGTGGAAGTGGTACGATTGAAAACAACAGTTCTTAGAATAATGCGACTGTCCGGTTTTATCAGCAGCAGCTTCTATGAATGCTGTACATGCGTGTTCTGCATCGATTTCATTAAAGAAATCTCTTAATTTCAATTTCAAACGAGTTTGCAAATAAGGGATCATCCGATCATGTTGTGCTTGAAAGCAGTATAATAGTATGCCTCATTGGTTTATGAGAAATATTTGTTCTGAGAGTAAAACCATTAACCCTCGCCCGTAAACGATGTTTTGCCACCTTCGCCCATGCAGGGGGGGGGGGTTGGTGCGACCCCCCCTGGCGTTTGAAAACGGAGCGTCGTAGAGCTTAGCGAAAAGACCAACGGATTGCTCTCAACGAGATCTCGCGATTGGTGGTATATTTTTTGGTCCTAGGTCAACATTTGACCTACTTATGACAGGTCAAAGGTCAAATTTTCAGAAAAATCTAACTTTTTCAGATTTCCGCGCCGATTACGGCAAAACGGTAAGAGATATCGACTTGAAACCTTCACTATCGTGATCCTTGATCAATATCTATCGTTTGGTGTGTATTTCGATGTCATAACTCTAAAAATGATGCGTTGGGAGCATCGGAAGTCTGCAAGGTCATTTGTGCATTGGGTCACGCCAGGTGTGTGACGTCACTGACCTGACCCTGACCCAAAATGAACTACAAGAAACAACCGGCGATGCCTGAAATGGATAGCAAATTCGAATTCAGGGCATCAAAATACCCCGAAAAGGCATACAAGTGCAAGAAGTCATTACAGGTCAACCGAGGTCACTGACCTTACCTTGACCTTTAGTGACCTTCAAAATGTCAACGGACATTGTGCCAATGTCAAATCAGCCAGTTATGATTCTAAAACAATCCATCAGTGTGTCAGGTCAGTAGGCATTTATACCAATGTGAAGCAATCTCCAATTTAGCGTAAATCTGGCCGGAGGTTGTTCCCTTTATGACGTCATAACTCCGTGACCTGACATGACCTTGACAAAAAAAATACCAAAAGTTGCGCAAAGGATGCCCCATAGGGTACTGAAAATTTGAGCAGGCTACCTGAAACGGTTCGGCGTGTAGCTAAGAAAAACCTCAGGGGGGGGGGGGGGGTTGCACCAACCCCCCCCCCTACATGGGCGAGGGTTAACTCTGGGAAATGGTTCGATATGTAGCTCAAAATAAGCCCTGGATCTTACAACCTAGTGACGTTCGTCCGCCGTGCCAAACGCAAGTACCGACTGACGTTCTAAGTAGTCAAGAGCGTGTCAAGTTCCGTATTGCATTTGCTCGACACACACGCCTAAGCTATCCTTGTAAATTGGAAGCGTTACCTCTACATACAGTCATTCAATTGAAATTAGAAAATATTTTTCCATGTGATGCAGTGCCGCATGTATTTAAAGAATCTGGAAAAAAATAAAAAAAGTTTCTTTAACACTTTGGAAAAAAAACTGGAAAGAAGCCTGAATTTCATATTGTTATAATCCTGCGTTTAATCCTCGCCCGCACATGTCATTTCCCCATCCTAGAACGCACATGGAGTTGGTTGCCACCCCCGCGCAATGTTGTTGCTGTTGGAGATAGAGCTTCGCGGTAACGACCAAAAAGATTCTTTGGGAAGAGACGAATCCAATGATACCCAGTTTTACCTTCTCAGGTCAGTTATTGACTTTCCAGGTCAGGTCAAACTAAAAAATATTGCTGTTTCGGGTCACCGTTGGATATCAAGTGCGCTGCTCATACACCGATGACGATGCCGTGTTGTGGTGCCAAGCAAGCTAGAACCTCTTTTTCACACTATCCGACTGATTTTTGCTGGCTGAGGTCATATCAGGTCAAGTTAGGTCAAGGTTAATGATATGTGTTTGTATGTCTGTGTGTGCCTGTGTGTATACTGATGTGTGCACCGATTGTTTATGTGTCCATATCACATGAGATCATGAACTGAGAAGCTTTTACCAAAATTGCAGTCAAAGAAACATCATGAAAAGTAAATTTAGCTTGCCTAAAACGCAATGTTTTTAGATGACCCAGGCTGACTTTGACCTGACACTGACAACTGTACGTCGTCGAACAGCATGTTCCATGATAGGTGGGAGGTAAGACTGGCAAAAAAGGCCGAAATCAAGGTGTCAAAAGCTCACAAGACCCATAGCCAACGCAAGATATTGGGTTTTGGTCATTTGGGTCATGATATGACCTGAAAAACAAGGTCATATCTCCAAAACCAAAAACCACAGAAACTTGAAATTTTTAGTGGACATCAAGAAAGGATAGAAGAGCAGCTATACGAAGAATTAGGCTTCTAGCTCTAAAAATGTTGAGTGCAGAGCAGAAAAACTACCTGGGGGTGGCACCCCCCCCCCCCATGTGCGGGCGAGGGTTAAGACGTTTAGTAATGTTCCCTCGCCACGCGATTTAACTCGTCGCATTATATATCTTTGAGCCTACGTTTGATCAAAACTGCACCATACTTTGGCTTTAATCGGCCGTGACTGTTTTCTGTGAGCTTGGCTCATTCCGTTGTGTGTCATCTAGGACAGAATGATTTGATTTGACAACGCGCTGCTGTGTCAACTGTCAGAGATCCGCCTTGACTGGAGCACCGCAGGCAAGAAAGTCATCGCGGCCGGACACCAGAGCACGGCCGGAACATGGCAGTCAGTTTGTGAGCCTGCGATATTGTAGACTGAATTCCTCACATGCCCCTGGTGACATTCTCTTGCTACATCTACTTCGAGCGCGTCATGAAGCTGCCATACTGTCACGAAAAACGCAACGGAAATTACCTCATCTCTTCTTATAACCACTCCGCTTTCATCGCACCCGACAACGAGGTACTGCACATGGCAGCCAGACAGAAAGCTCAATACCTCGACGGCGCTCATCGTCTCCGGGGTACCAGCACGCCGCTGTTGGCGACCCCGGCACCGTCCACTACGGGTCACCGCTCGACTGGGGACGGCGCTGATCAGGTCGGCGAGACGTGGAGAGATGACATCGACATCGACAGAGTCATCGACCGCTCCGCGGATAGTCGGGGATCCATTACAGCGTGACCCACGGATGACGCGGCGTTTCTGGGTACTGCCAGAGGCTATTTAGGGCAATAAGCGCGTGAGGAAACTATTAGCTTCCCAGGTAACGCAGTGGTGGAGTGATGTTGGAAACATCGAATGTCACCCCGCGCCAGCCTGTCTCGTCAATTTGCTCTGTCAAACGTGAACCTCCATGAGGTTCCCCGCCGGTTCGTGCTTGTCACTTCCTCGTGAGTTCATCGTGCAGCTCCTGTCGGCTAAGCTTTGTATGATTGTCATATTATCCTGATGAAAATAATTCTCAGCAAAGCGTCGATTCAACTAATGCCAATGTTCGTTATGATTCTGGTAGTGCTATCTCTGTGCAAAAATATGGTTAGAGTTTTGTTTTTATATAAGTTGGTAGAGTTTTGCTTTGAATCTTGGACCTAATTGTTTTTCTCACAGACAATGACAATACAAAAACAATATAATAAGACCATGGTCTTATTACATTGTTTTTGTATTGTCATTGTCTGTGAGAAAAACAAAATATCTGACTCTTCTTGGACCCAATTCCTTGACGCAAATGTTTAATGATTTTCGAATTTTCTGCAGCACTTGTCACTTCTCGGCCGCTTCAATTTCACTAATATCATCACCGCAATTGGGCTTACGCGGTGAATACACTCAAGCTGTTATGTTCACGCGGTATACAGACGCATCTAAGGGAAGCGGGAGCAATTTCCTGGCCACAATTCAGCCTTGCTCCGCCTCATCACTTATCACAGCAGGATAGGCTCTATGCCTTGGCGGTGCCGCTCATCTTGAGTGCATTCAGTGCCTCTCAGCGACTCGACGGACGGCGTACGACACAGTTTGTGGTGGCACGCGGCTGTGTAAGGCTGCTGAGCGCTCTGCCTCAGCCGGCTGCCATTCAGCCACTTGAGCCACTGTCCAACAATGCGCCGCGTGCGGCGGCCACTCGACGTATGCCGGTAAATGACTCGCTGCCGTGCCGGCCGGAATACATTAGTGAATGTGGCCGGAACGCGCCTGTTGGTATAATATGTCATCAGGTAGCAGGTCGCCATGTCTGTCGTGGGAATCCCGGATTAATGGGAAATGGTGCGGAAGATGAATGGCATTTTTGTTATTTAATGAATGATAATTATCATTCATTAAATTAGCACGAGGTTCGTAGCACGAGGTCCGAGCTACGGACCTCGTGCCATACCAGCACTCGGTCCTCCGCACAAAAATCTCGGTCAATAAAACGCATTTTCCCAGCCCCGTTCGGGAATAGTTACATAATCCTTTCCAGACACCTGGAAGGGATAAGTGTCCCAGGTCGTTTTGGTTCCGTCTTTTTCACCCCGCAGGTTATCAATCAGCATCATCCTGATCCCTCCTATTGCGAGCACCAGTGTGACAATGTGACATATATCGCACACAGCTCGTAATGTGCCGAATGCCTGGGATCTACCGCAATACTCCACTCCTGGGGTTTCCTGTCCTTTATTTGGCGGGACCAGATGCCCAGGGACAAGCATAAGCGCACAATGCAGTAGCTAAGCTGTCACTGAGTTTTATGGACTATACCGCAGTTTTTCGGACTCAATTCATGCCCTAGAAACGGAGTGCGGACCACAGACCGTTCCAAGGCCGTCTTGAGCAGTACATGTGACCCGATTTTGGCAAACCATGAGCAATTGCCCATGGAGAGCAGTTTGCGCTCGGCTCCATCACACAGTACACGATTAGACACGGCTCTGATTGCAATGATTGATGAATGCCGCCATCTTCGGCTGGGCTGTTGAAACAGAGGCTTATAAGGTCGATAGTCGTCTTCCTTCGTCGACGAAAGAAAATGAAAACTGTCCCTCTTGCACCTCCCGTACT